CAGCACAATCAGAAAATGTTGTATCCAACTATTAATAATCGATATATATATATATATATATATGACTTGAAGTTTATCTTCTATGAATTCAACTGAGGTTGGATTGATTAAAATCCATCATTTTAGCTAAGATAACCCTTGTTTTCTTTTCAAATTCTGAAAAACATATCCAATTAGTGATAGAACCAAAATTGGTTGCATCTCCATACCTGTATAATATTTTAATTATAGACTAAACTTGAAACGTTTTTGTTTTACTTTTAGATTCTAGTACGCTTTACTCGTGACATTATTGATTCTATGACATGGCATCCAAAAAACCAGGTACACACACATCTTTTCTTAGGTTTGATCACTTATGCAATGTATACCTTGATTAGTTCATTGATTATTCTAAGTATTTTCATTGAAAAACTCTTCTGGATTGGATTATTCTGAATTGATAAAGTATTTTCCATATTCTTGTGTCTATCTAATAACTAAATGTTTACCATTTTGTACATGACTGGATAACTTGCTTCTTTTTCAATGAAGAATGGCTTTCATTGATGAATTTATCGTAACCGTCGTTGTTCGGCTAACTATAATGAAAAATAATTATTTTATATTTTACATGCACTTTAGTTTGTACACGCTCCGTTTTTACCAAAAAACGAAAAGAAAATCTTTATGTGCTGCCTTTTCGTAACATAGGTCGTTGAACTGAATATTCCATTTATTTTCGTTTTATGATATGTATGAAGTAAGATGAACTTTATGAAAATTCACTACTACCGATCTTTTCGATGGGCAATAAATTATAACTGTAGAAAACGAAACGCTTAAAATTATTATACATATCTGTACGGTAGATTCAGGTAGCCAAAATAGCTGCATGGTCATATTTCCATCGCATATGTTCGAGATATTTAATATAATTTCAATAGCATGATTTTGTTGTTAAATTCAGCATTTATACAAATAAAAGATTTGAAAAGCATGCACAACTTATCAAAATAATCATCTTATTTATTTCTTGCAACCTTATATTTATTCTTTTATAAAATAATTTGTGACTCGATATTTCCACTGTCGCTTTTCTTTTCTTTGATTGTAGCTATCATAAAATGTTTCAATGAGTGTTCTACCAAAGCTGAAGTTTGGTGCAAGAAGTGTGAAAATAATTATTGCTTGACATGCAGCAATACAGTTCATGCGCATCCGGCTTTAAGCAAACATGAAAAAGTGCCTATTGAACAAATTGCATGGGAATTGGAGTGGTGCAACAAACATTCAGATGAAAAAGAAAAATACTGGTGTTGCGAATGTAAGAAAAAAATCTGCTACAGTTGCCAATCGGCTGATCATCATGAACATCAGATTGTAACCATTATTGACACTGTAGAAGGCATAGAGAAAAATGTCAGTATTTCATTGCATCTGCATCTATTGGGGTTCCGGAATTTCGCCAATAAGACTTTCGCCAATGGCGAAAGTCCACTGTATTTTCGTCAATGCACTCCGTGGAAGTTCGCCAATTGGCGAATTTCCACTGTACTTTCGCCAATACATTCTGTGGAGTTTCGCCAATTGGCGAAAGTCCGCCGTACTTTTGCCAATATATCTCCGGACTTTCGCCAATTGGCGAAAGTACAGTGAACTTTCACCAATTTCATTATAACTTAGATGTAGACTAAAAAGAATTTTCTGATCTACATCGATTAGCGAAAACTATGATAACTATATTCTAATAAAATTAACTTCAGGGCTGACATATATCTTATATTAACACTTTCGAGGCGATGGATTCCACCGCTGGGACCCACTATAGAGCAGTCCAAGAGCTCATTTATCGTAGAAAAAATTGAATATCTCTGCCATGGTTAGACCAAGAGGGTTGATTCTTCTACCATTGATAAAGGAATGTTCATAGCTCATATTGATAGGAAAAACATGGATAAAAGCTGTTTTGAAGTAATGCAGTTGCTACAAATAAAGAAGTGAAACCTTTCACGAATTATGAAAAAGCAATATTCATATCGCCGCGAATGAGTTAATATTATTCCGTGACAACTGCAACAGTTCACCTCACTTTCACCAATCGGCGAAAATCAATTGCACTTTCGCCAATACATCTTCTGGAATTTTGCTAATTGACGAAAGTACAGTGGACTTTCGCCAACACATCTTCTGGAATTTCGCCAATTGGTGAAAGTCCACCGTACTTTCGCCAATATACCCCTGGGACTTTCGCCATTGGCGAATGTCTTATTGGCGAAAGTCTTATTGGCGAACATCCCACCACCCCATCTATTCCATAAAGCAGTTTTTTATGAAATTTAGCTAAACGATGACCTTGACAACACAGAATCATCTTTGGAGGAAGCCATAAAAAGTGACCAACAAATAATCGATTCGACTGTACGTGGTTATAAAGAAAAAATTGTTCAAGTGTTTGCATCTATTTGTGAAATAATCGATAAGCATAAGAGAATGCTACTAGAAAAAATTGAAGAGATTGATAGAAAGGACAAAAAATTGGTTGGAGACTATCAAAACGAATTGTTGCTCAAAAAGAAGAAGCTCAATCATCATAGAGAAGAATTCAAGAGAATTCTTTCGAAGAAGGACCCTGTAAAGTTACTAGAAACCAACGAAACATTGGCCAACAACATCAAAAAAGTTGCTCAAGACTTGGAAAAATTGAAATCATCTGTCATATCTAAATACCATATTGATGGCATCGATGAACTAGTAACAGCTGTTGATAATGTCATCAAGCGTGTGATCATTGTACAGAAACAAAGTAACTTGTTTATGTGTGATATGGGCAACACCTCCTAGGATTCTTTGCAAGGACAGCCAAGGTATAGGTAGACGAGGATGATTATCCTAACCGATCAATCATCGGGTAACAAATAATAGAAAATTGATAAATCTCATTCTTTTAATAGATTCAGAATTCTCGATTCGGAAATCTTCGACTAAACCTTTTAGAGAATCGTTATTTTCCAAAACAATCAGATTAAAGCACTATTTTCATTTTTATTCAACTTTATTTTTCTATTATTTTGTATTCAAATAATTTCTTTGAGACAAAAAAAAATTCAAGAAGAAATTAAGAATGATTGATGATTGACGAAATTGTAAGATAGTAATAAACGAAGTTTGTATTATAAAGCATAGTCATGGAATATTTTTATCTTGCTCTATGTTGAAATAATAGATGCGAACTACTTCTGAAAATTTGAACAACTTCATCCATTCAACAGGACGATAATATTCCAATTTTGCTTATCAATTGATCTTATTTAAATAGAAATGCAAAATATATAAATAGTTCGAATTGATTTTACTTTTTATTTTACATATATAGTCGTATAGAGCTTAATAAAATGATAGCAAATGTATAGTTTTGATTTCAGTGGAACCAATGTGTAGTGAAATATAGTTCTAAAACGCTAAATCACAGATAAGATCCAATAGAGAATGAAAAATCACGGCTTTATTTTAGTGAAACATATCGAATTGCTCTGAATTATATTTCATTAATAATCTGAATGTATTCGATTGTGATTTAGCATCGAAAATGACTAGTAAAATATGATTTGACTGAATTTGAAATGAGAGAAATTAAAAAAGTATATACAATGCAAATAGTTTTAACGCACACTGTTGAACAAAATATGTACTTTTTCTCTTGTATTCCATATTCCATCCGTTTAGTAGCAAATCAATATTAATTACAAAAATGATTTATTTACTCTCTGCCATTCATATGTATGATAAATAACTATTCACTTCAATAGAAGTTCTAGCATCTTATTAGTCTTTTCTCTATTCGAATGTACGTATAATTCAAAATTGAAATCGACTCATGGATACAATAGTTAAAAGGTTCCAACGAAAATGACCTACTAAAAACATGGAAAGGAGCTTAAAATTGGAATGTAATTTTACATCTATCTTTAAATCTTAGAAACCTTGCAAAATCTATAGTTCGGTTAGATATTATGCATTCTTTGCTACTTATATAAGTTCATGATACACAGTAAATTCATTTACCAGTCTTAAAGTGCAATCACTACATTAATGGATATCTATAATACATTCGAGAGCAATTATTGATCGAGAGTTGTGAATTTGGAGAAAAAAGAAGTTTGTTTTAATCAAAATTTTTCGACTTCGTCAAAGAAACTAAACCGATAGAAAATAATATACGAGTCAGTGTAATAAACTGTAAATCGCTATGAATGTAGCGTCTTTTTCTCTGATATACGCTACGTTCGACCTTGAATTTCCAATTTAAAATTAGCACCATTAGATCCAGAAAATTTTTAAGAATTTATATCAAAATTGATTCTAATGAAAAATTTCAAACACAAAAAAGAAACCATTTTAATGATAGTATTCATTTGTGTCATACAATTACGTAGTCAAAGCTAACATGCTATGTAGAAAAAATAGACAAAAGTTCATTAAAATCTTTTTTAAAATTCTCAAATTAAAGTATCATCACTCATTATTAATTCACGTGCTCGACATTGCTATATCAAATGCATATGTTTTAGATAAAAATCTTTTTAGAAGATATTCAACATTTCTTCGCTGTTCTTTTTTAAATAACACTTAGTCTTGGAAAGATTTGGATATATTATAGTATTGTAGTTCTGATCGAACTTTGTATAATTTCGATTTGAGTCTTATGCTAAATGTAGGAAAGTGAGATGAAAGTTTAATTTTTGCCAAAACAAAATGTTCTCGACATTTGTTAGTTTCATTCTTTATAAAAAGTTCTTCGAAATATATTAATTCAGCTATTTGATAAAGCATAAAAAGATGAGTGTAGACTTCCGCTAAGCAGATATGTGGATTTGGATGTAGATGTTTTTTCTTCATTAACGTACACACTCACACCCTCATATTCACAATTAATACAAAATTAATATTTCAAATTTTTTATAAATTCATGTTTCTTTCTAGAACATCCTGCAAGAAATCTAGCATTATATCCATCATTAATGGCTACTCAACCAGTAAATTAAATTGATATGATTTTCAATTCTAAATAAGCCTTTCTTATTTTTAGTATCTTAATCAACAAATGCTTCGCTATCATCCTCACCTAGTTTATTATCCTCGCCTAGTTTATTATCCTTACCCAGTTTATTATCCTTCAAATTTTGTACAAAATTCATGTATGCCTGCAAATAATTCACAATTTATCGTTAGTTTTAAAAAAGAAACATCTATTTAAAAAAAAAGCAAGTTTTTCTAAATATAGATTCTTTCATCAATTCCTTTTGTTCAATCGCCGAATGAAAATATGAATAATTATCCAAGTGAACTTTCACAAGATGATAATTGTCTAACATATGCTGGAGGAAACAATAGTCTTCTATCGGAATCAACTGTTGATCCAGAAAGAATTCTTTCAAGTAAGTTCTGTAGTCAAGGAATCAATAAATTTGATTTTTTACTATTCCATCAGCTGATTCAATATCAACAAGTTCTGCAATAGCACAAATACCACTACTAATGTCTGTGAAAGGATCACTACTCGAACAACCACCATATGAGAATCCTGCTTTACAAAAATCAGCTCAACATACAATAGTGAAGATTTTTAAAAAGAAAAAAAAACACTTTCTTCTCTTGCTATTGTAGACTGATCAATTAACTGTATCAACATCTCAACCTTCGACTGCACAAAATATGAAACAATTAAATTCATATGGATCAACAATACCATCAGTATCTACACACATACGGCAAAGAAAATTAATACCTATTATTGATCCAGTATCACATATTCCAATCGACGTTTCTACACAATCAATAAATCCATCAATAACAGAGTTATCATCATCTACAAACATAGAAAATGAAACATATCCAATGAAATCAGCAACTACAGATTCAGTTATATCAAATATAAAATCTACAATTGATAAAAGTAAAACACAAATTCAAGTCGATTCTCAACCAGAAATGACTATCGAATTAACTGATTCTTCCAACGCTTATATAGAACAGGTATAAAATTAGCATATTACATGTTCTTCAAAATTAAGGTTGAAGTCTTTTTGAATGAAATTTTATTTCAAGTCTTAAGCAATGATAATGTTTGTAGGAGTATCGATTAGTGTAGGTATAAATGTAGTTGTATGCAGGATAGTATATTGCATGTGTGAGTATGTGAATGAAGACGTGCGTTCACTCACATCTGCAATACATTTTTGTACAATAATGGTACAACATAGAGAACAGCAACATTTAATCATACACTTTCTTGTCAAAAGATATGCATAATGAACAAATTAGTTAAGAAAGAAAACATGGTAACACAGACTAAGCATCGTAGATAAAAAACGAAGTTGTTGTCAAAAGCGTGAGGTGTACATCGAAACTCTATGATTATTTAGTCTGATGATACAATGCTTGCATTCAATGAACAAATTAGTTCATATCAACCGATATCACTATCAACATCATCATTATCGACCACAGTATCAGTAGAATGTATTACATCTCCATCAGCAACAACAATAATAAATAATGATAAATCTCAATCACAAGCAAAACAACGTTTACAGTATAATCGTGATGAACTTTTATGTATTCGAGATAGTTTAACATCATTTCCAATGCCGAAGAATCTTCCTAATCTTAAAATTATTATTAATCGAAGTAATCAAAGTAAAATTGCTGGTAATAATATAACCTTACATGATATTGAATCATTATTGGATAAAATCACACCACAAACATATGATGAATTAAAAAGAAAACTGCAAGCATTACACATTGATTGTTATGAACGATTAAAAGAAATGGTTATGTTAGTTTATTCTAAAGTGAATTATTTTTGTTAATTTTTTATGTAATTTTTAAAAAATCTTTTCTTTTTTCTTAGGCTGTTAATGAACCAGCATCTACTTTTCTATATGCATATTTATGTAAACACCTTGAAAATGTAATTTCTTCTTTTTAATTTTATATTTTTAAAATTAATTTCAATTCATTTTTTATTCCAGAAAAAAGTCATTTCACATAATAAAAATGATCATGTAGTAATAAATAGCTTTGGTCAAATATTATTAATACATTGTCGAAAAGAATTTGAAAATGCTTGTAGACAAGATATTGAACAAGAAAAACAAAAAGCTGAAAGTGAAAGTGTAATAGATAAAGAAAATCCTAAAGAAGAAGAAGAAGACTTTATTAAAGCTAAACGAAGATACTTAGGAAATATTATGTAAGTATATTTATAAATTTTTAACTAATATGAAAAAGAAAAAATATCCAGAATCATGACGATGAGAGCTATTCATAAAGCAATAATCAATTAGAACTTATGTTTCAGTCTGTGTCAGCCACCAAAGTAACCGCGCAAAAACATATATGATACCTTTATAGTATGAACTAAAAAATTTCATAAGGAGATAAATTCGAATCCGAATCTCAATAAAGTTTACAGAATTCAAAATTTTTCAATTCGACAGGCTCTAATATATGGATTTAGAATGTCTATTAATGACAACAGTTCAATTTTATAGTATATTTAAGAGGAAGGTCATATAACTGAAAGCTGAAAACAATAATGTATAGCTTTTTCAATGAAAAAGGCGTATTTTTATTCATCTTTGCATTTGACTTGATTTTTTGCTATCTGCTTTGCAGTATGCAGTGTCACATCGCTTTAGTTTCAATTCCAAGAAAAACCAATTTAAGAGTTGATTTCTAGTCGGCCTAATAAGTCTTAAATACTTATGTTTAGATTAATAATGTCACTGGTTTGATTATTTCTTCTGAATTTCACTTTCATAGCATAGTTCGCTTAAATCAAATAATTTAACTATGATTTTTAGTTCCAGTTCAAGCAACTTTTCTCTAGTCATCTCAGACCTAATACATTTTTATTTTTTTACATTACCATATGCCTCTAATCATACTATGATTGATGACTAGTTTGCTTTTTTGATTCTGAATTTGAAAATATCAATAAAAATCTGTTAGCACAATCTCTGCAAGATAAAAATATGAAACACGATCAATATGAGAATTTTGTAATACACTAGCGTGAGCCCGTACATACTACACGGCTTTTTTCTCTTTTATCATATGACCTCAGACGTTTAACTTTTCGTCCGCTAACAGACATACAAACACTCGATATTATGTATATAGATAGATAGTCATACGGCCTCATACTCTTATATCGCACATATTTTTATAATGCATCTAGCCTTCGCTATTATAGTCTTATATCCCTTGTAGCTCTCGTAGCCTTATCTCCTTACTGCCTTACCCCTTATTACCTACCCATTACTGCGTTACTCCCTTCAGAGCCTATTAGCGCCCATATAATAGCCGATGAAGACCTATGAGTATGTCCATATAATAGCCCTTGAGGACCTATGGGCATCTTCATACGATAGCCCTTGAGGACCTATGACTATCCCAATATAGTGGCCCTTGGTGCCTTTTTCTTATAGCCTTATCTGACCTTTAATCTTTGACCCGGCACAGACAGACAGACACTGAACATTATATAGATATAGATATCTTTTGATTTGTGAATTCTAACGTATTGTTAATGTATATTCAAGATGAAGGATATCAATAGTAATACGTTATTGTGAATTTAAAAACAAAGTCACAGACAAGTATCTTAAGCTCGATTGTCTTACATAAGAATTTCGGTATGGTCTATCGAGAAGTTCAAACTTATAGAAGTTAGTCTATCAGTAAAAAAAAATATATATGTGTGTTTTCGTTTCAAAACAATCCTATGATATCAAATTTGATTTATGATTAAGAAAATCTAGTGCAAATCTTTATTTATTTTAGTTTTATGGGTAAATTATATAAATTAAAGATGTTACATAATGCTGTTATTACTGTATGCAACTGTATTGAATATTTACTACGTGATAAAACTAATGAAGAAAATCTTGAATGTTTATATCATTTTTTATGTATAATTGGTAAAAAACTTGATGATAAAGCCAATATAAAAGTATGATTTTCTATTTGACGACTGTTGGTCTTACAATTTTGTTTTTATTGTTGTAGTTGACAAAGAAATTCAATTTGAAAAAATACTATGATGAGTTAGATATGATTGTCAGAGAACAGAAAATATCAGCTCGCATTTTTCATTTGATTCAAGATCTTATACAATTAAGACAAGTAAATGAATTTTATATTATTAGATAGGTTTTAGTAAGACTCAACAAAGTCTAAAATGATTGCTGATTAAAGATTTTTCTTCTTTGCTTAACTATTTTAATGAAATTTTTAATAGAAAATACTGTATATCACTTAAGATCATCTGTGAAATCGACTTTCGTATTCAAAAATTGTATAAATTAAAATGAAAGTCTCAGACTGTCTGATATTACCTATTGTGAAATATAAATATTAAAAAAAAATGAAGACGACATATATTTGACGTCCAGAGAGAGATTTATGTGTATGTATTATCAAGTTCTATTGTACACCGTTGAAATGTCAACAATGGACGCGACCGTCACTGCAAACGTAAGGTTCTCTGTTGAGATCTTAGCAGTACGTAATAGAACTTGATATTACATTCATCATTAGATTATATATCTTGTTTTGAAGATCAAAAACTTAGAGACACCGATTTTTATTATATATTTCAGAACAGATGATGCTCAGCAGTCTAAGACTTTCGGTAGTAGTTTTATTAAGTCGATTTTGAAAGTGATCTGAGAAGGCACATAGCAGCGATTTTTAAAAATAATCTAAGAAGAAATACTCATGCACAAGAATTTTCTTAGAGTTCCTCTTGTGTTTATAGACTTATCTTTAAAATGATTTTTCATTTGATGAAGTTTTCGAATAAATGAACATTCAATTAGGCTGGATGGGTTGCTTGTTGTGCAAAAACTAAACCAACACTAGTTGATGAAATTTGTGAACAACATCATGATCAAAATTATGATACTATTATTAGTAGTGCATCTAGCGGAAATAGTCAACAACAGTATGATGATGAATGTAATAGTGGAATTAAACAAAAATCGAACAAAAATGAAGATAAAATAGATAATTATTTTAATCTTGATACTTTAACATAATTACAATCAAATAATGAAACAAAATCAAAGACTATTTGTAAGAAATTTTTCATCAGAATTAATAGATGATTAAAATGATTTATTCTTTTTATAGGTAATGACTTTAGCTGAACAACATTTATAGGAAAAAGAACTTTTCATTGAAAATAAACCTGAATAAGGTAGTTCTTTTTTGTGAACACTAAGAAAACTTACTCACGTCTCTTCTGATAAGCCTTATTGTCATCTTTTTTTTGAACGAATAAATTAACATAATTAATTCATTGTTCTATTCTATAAAGCATAAGCATCAGCAAGATCTTTGTAAATTACACACACACTAATATATTTTATTTTTGAGTATCTGTAACAATTCTGAAGACGAGGCATGATACAATATCGAATTAGTTTTGTGATATGTATAGTGGACACTGCTGAGACTCAGAGATAAAATAGAGTTCAACATACACATCAATTCTGTACGGCCAATGTGGGTGTAGGTGTGATAAGAAATGCATACTGTCACACTCACACCTTAGATTGTAAGAGAACCTTGGTTGAGGATATGTAACAGAACAGTAAAAAAACAGCACGATTCAATGTCATTTTGTGCATTAACCGATCAGACGTCATGCGTATTTTAATAATCGTGTATTAGAGTGTCTTTTTGTTGTGCCTTCAAGGCTCGCTGATTTGTTTCTTCCTATATAAAGTGGTCTTATAGAAGTTTAATTTCCAGGAAAAACGACAGAAATACCTAGTTATTCTTGTTCAGAGTACATAAAAATGTTTGTCCAAGAAGATATTACTGTGATTTCACGTAGCATAAGCAATAAACTTTTCATACCAAACGAAAACTCATTGAAAACGGGGACTTATCTGTTCAACTAATAGACTATGAAATGACTATGGAATTTTTCAAAATTTTAGGAGCATTTTCATTGGGAGACTAGGATGTGGGTGTGTATGTGGGTGGGTGTGGGTTTCCGTGTGTACTAAGTGAAGATCAACATCCACACCTACACCCACATCCACCCACCCACATCCACACCCACACCCACACCCACATCCTTTTCGTATATTACACGAAAAATTTCATTAAGCTATTGTCATCTAAAAGAATCTTAACTTTCTATGCAGGATTTTTTATGGTTTTCCTCAACCAGGACTCTTCTCCCGCCCCCCCCCCTTGACAGGTGAAATCGAGCTAACTTTTCAATGGCTCAACCAAATGCTCTAAAATTTTGGATTTAAAGATTTTAGATGATGCTGAGCAAAATGAGAACATAAAAACAAAAGTCAAGATTTTATCCAGTACTTTGATATCTGCCACAGTGCTCGATCATGTCACGGACTTTCTTAAAAGCTTGAAGCTTCCTCTTGGAAGAATTAATTTTGGTCAAATAAGACTGAAACGAATGTTAAACTCTGAAGAAGTAGAAATTTGGATCTATCTCCCTTTCTTCACCAGGAACCGTGACCGACAAGGTCCGGAGTTTGTTTATGGTCTCTCATTTAAGTTAGTAAATATTTCTTTTGCCTTTTAAAACTTAATTACTAAATAATCGTGTATATGACTATTGATTCATAGATTCCAAGTTGAACTTGACTTTACTTGCAAACGAGACAAAACTAAATTTTTATTAATTATTCTTTTATCGCAAACAAACAAAACATTATGCACTTTCGTCAAAAATAGTATCATTCATTACACTGTAGGAAACGAAACACTCTTGTTGTGTCTTACTCCATTTCAGAAGCTGTTTTTTTGATGTTGAAGTTTTTTTCATACACTTATTTTCAAAAATATCATTCATTTAACGCACTAATCGATACCTTCCCTGCAATGTTTATTTTATTGTGGAACTTACGTATATTTTCGAAGAAAATAGTCAGTGTAAGTTTTAAGCCCAAGTTTTTCCGGCTCTCTTCCTCCCACCCCATTACAGACAGGCCACGATTCCAGATCTTAGCAACCTCGCAAAATTTAGATCATATACAATTTTCTAATGCATTCATAATTATTCGAAAAGAAAACTATTTTTCAGTTCAGAAATAATGCATTAGGATAACAGTTCGAAAGTAAATACGTGAGTTCCATATTTCAGCTCGAAAGGGGCTGCGCTGATAAACTTTAGCACTTGCTTTTTTATATACTTTTTCTAGTCATTTGTAAAAAGAAAAATTCTAGAACTATTCTTTTTTTCATTTTAATTTTCGTTTCCTCTGCATGAAATTAAAGCAGACCATAGCAATCTTCAATGGGCTTCACCTTGGAAATAATAAAAATGTCTATAAAAAAATTGGAAATAAAATATTGTCTCTTTATTGGGTAGAAAACCAGATTTAATCAAAATAAATTAAGAGTAAATAATGCAAAAAAGATAATACAGTGATCAAATTTTCAGTACAAAAATGCATATCTTGGTTAGCTTATGACACAAAACTATAAATGAAACAGGAAAGTGGCACTATTTATCATGATACTTTTTCCTTTTCTTCGCTCTGAAACTAATAGTAATGGCACGGATCCTTTTCGATAATTTGCATACATGATGATCTTCAGCCGCCAGCAAAGCATGGTCATGAGTGGTGTTTATCAGTTGTGAATGTTCACTTGTAAGATAGAATTTGTGGCAAAAAAAGAGTCATAATCGTCTGAAACGATTTTTACAGAAATTCGATAAACTATAAGATGCAATTGCCAAAGCCTACCAAAAGCAATGGTTTCAAAGTACGTCTGCAATGTGTATTATTGTTTAGTTCGCAGTAGCCACCATAATTAAGAATATGGTCGAACTGGCAATACATTCTGAAGCTAAGATGTCAACTGAGAACAGATGTCAGGGTGTGGGTGTGGGTGTGGGTGTGGGTGTGTGGGTGTGGTGAGGGTGTGACTGGGATTGATTATGGGTGTTCTGTTTTCTGATCCTCATACTTACGCTCATACTCAGCCACAGCCACAGCCACAGCCACACCCCTACCCACAGCCACAGCCACAGCCACGGCCACAGCCACAGCCACAGCCACAGCCACAGCCACAGCCACAGCCACAGCCACAGCCACATCCCACACCCACACCCACATCCCACACCCTGATCAAGAAAAACACTCAAAGCTGATTTATCAACCGAGTTTTCGATGCGCTACATTTTGGTTGATTACTTATTCAATTTTGACCAATATAGCTCAAAGTAATTAAGAAATCCAGCATTTTTCAAGTTGAAAAGGTGTTGCAGGAACGTTTTTAACGATGCTTAGTTTTTGACTTTTTCTATTTCTCAGATTCATATTGAAAAAATATGCCTGCTATAAAATTTGTAGTTCAGTCATCGCTCTTTCCAACAAGACAGTTTGATTAGTTCAGGAGTTGGGAATATGGTATAGTATGGTCGGACATTTTTCCAAAGATTTTTGCATCGCATATTCTTCTATATCCGAAAACAGAATATATAACCTGAAAATACTTCAAAGATCATTCTTTTCTCACTATTGATACTTAATTTAAATCATTTTAAAAAGACATGCTACAAGATACTGTAATATCATACTCAATCAAAAACATAGTATCAATCAGTCAATTTTAATAGATACACAATGGATAACGGTGGCTATATTAATTGAAACAATAAAGACAAATGATAATCGGTAATGAATGGCAAAAATGGTCGCTAATACGTTTAGTTCATCAAATAGAAACGTGGTTAGCTTACGGCGAAGTCTCACGTAGCTGTGCAAAAGATTGGAAATTTTCTCGAGAAAGTACATGATTTGAGAATTAGGACATAATTTACCAGGGCAAAGTAATTTGCCCTGTCCTGCCCTGTGCCCTGTTATGGTCGCCCTGCAGGGCAAGCAGGGCAGGGCAAAAACAGAAGCCTGGTCCTGTAGGACAGGGCAGGGCAGGACAGGGAGTCAGGGCACCAGGGCTGCCCTGACCTGATGACGGTCTCTGATTCAAATATCACTTGTTCCTATGTTTTATTTCAGAAAAATTTGCATAAATAAATGAAAGAATTTTCCCTAACCTGCTAGTGTTTTTGTGTCTAATTGTTGTTTTACTTGTTCATATTGCTTACTAATATCTGTGAAGCAATCATTCATTTCTTTGAACAAATTCCGTAGATTGTAAGTATCTATGGTATGGAATATTAATTTATGTATGATGAATAGAAGATCTCTGAATGATGCTTGTGCAATTAAAAATCTTAATAAAATTTCCACAGCTGGTGTTGCTACAATGGGATCTGTTGACAAAGATAGTTCATTAATACAACTAATCAATGGTTGCAACGATTTGGAGATGAAGTTTCTGCTAGCTGGTGATTGTTCGAAAGACGATAAGGTTTTAATAGGAATTTGTTCACATAATTGATTGGCTAATATTATTATTTGAGATGAAATCGATGGATCAACTTTTTCGTTTATTTTGACTGACTCTAACAATAATGATGCTAACAATTTTACAGCAAAATAAGGAAATTGTAGAGCATCAGTTTCGTTTTCCGACGATTCAGTGCATGGTTCTGAGACTATAAATTGATTTGTATCGTTATCATCGCCTAATTTTTTCTGCAGCGACTCGCGTAACTGTTGTTGCTTGCCAAAAACTACTTTCATTTCTTGAAATGCTTTTCGATAGCGGTCAGCAACAGGAATGAAACCATTCTCTATAAGTAATTTATTAATTTTTGTATTAATCAATGTGAGTTCATCATTTGTCGTAAGTTTTAATAGATATTTTTGAATGTGTTCCGTTAATAATTTTTCCGAATTCCAAATTGGAACATCGTTATGATCTTGAGTTTCATTTGTTGTTGTATCAGCAAATGTTTTCATCGATAAAAATAAATTTATATTTTCATTATCATTATCATATGCCATAGAGTTTGACTTGGGATCGGCTGTATCCTTATTAGCCCAGTCAACAATAAGTGAATTAACAATGGATAAATGTTGACCCATCGTTGTATTCACAAAATAATGTATTTAGTTGAACTTATAAAGTGTCAGTGTTATGCAATGAGTTGAATTCTGAAAGATATAAGACATGATTATGAACCCGTTGAGGATTATATTATCTTGTGATTAAGGATTAATAAACAATCACACGACTATTTCATGTAAGAATCCTGTTAAAAAACACATATTGAAATTCGATGCTGTCTTAGATCTATCAGAAAAACGCTTAAGAACCATAAAACAGCAAAACCTAATTATGTATAGTAAACTGTTGTTTCATGATGTGAATGACTAAATCAAAACAACAAGAAACAGAAAAGAAAAAATTTTCAGAAACGACGGGAGTCAGCTCAAGATGAATTACTGACTTGGAACAAAAGCATACATTTGATAAAGCTTGTTAACAAAACCCTAAGGGACCTGAAATGTGGAACTCATGTATATATTCCATAGAGGAGAACATACTGAACGACTATTAAACTAGTTGCTATGCTCTGTAATAAGGCAGAGGAAGCTACAGAGCGTCGACTTAAAATCTGCACTCACACAGCAGCAGAACACACATCGTCTGAAGTCGTGAAGCGATGCACAAGTTTATTTTGTTTTTTCTCCTATTCAAATTTTCACATAGAGGGAGAAGTACTTGCACAACCATTTCAAAGTAAACATCGAATTCCTCTTGTTGCAAGAAGAATAAAGACAGCGTTTGCTAGTGATTTTTTTTTCACAATAGTCGAACAAATATTTCATCCATCAATCGAAGTCGTTATTCAGGAACTAAGGTGAAATCATCTTTAGTAGTCTATTATCCAAATGCTACCACTATCAGCTAGTTCAATCCGACCCTAGTTTAACAATGAGGATTTAGCTGAGCGTGTGGATATGGGTAGTTGTGTGGGTAGAGCATGCCTGTGACTGTGCCTGTGGGCGCGGGTGTACATGACCAGAATCATGACACGCACAATCCCACACCCACCGACACTAACACAACCACACCCATGCCCACACCCACACCCACACATCCACACCCACCCACACCCACACCCTCACCCACACCCACACCCACACCCACACCCACACCCACACCCTACACTTCTTTGTCTTGCGTAAACCTTTCAATATCACATACAACTTAATCACGTTATTTTTGATAGTTTCGTTGACTTTGCTCTATTTATACAAAAAACTTGAATGATTTTTATTTTGTTATGTTTGGAATGACCACATATTTTTCTATCGATCTAAATAGATTATATTATATTTTCATTTTGTTGAAATTTAGGATACATTCCGTAAACCATCCAATACAATTTTTTTTCATGGAATAAGTTTCAGACCATATGTGGGGTGTTTTCGTCGAAGGCTATTATTCACTGTGCAACTGGAACTCTTTACTTTTAGCTATAATAATAAGCCATTCTTTCTTCTATACGACTGCAGTTTTTTAATGGGATTATTCCTTGTTTTCATTAAAAATCTTCACCGGTTTGTTGAGAATTTTTTTTACGAATTCTCTTATACATGGCTTCCCACTGTTTTTCAAATAAGTTTTGGTTGTTTTAAAATTTAACTTTCATCTGTGGCTTAAAGCTGAATATATAGTGTCGATTCATATAATTTTAGGCAGATTTTAGCTCAGTCGAGGAAGTGATTTTTGGCAAAATAATATAAATTTGTTTTTCATGAATATAAAAATGTACCAAATTTTAGCATTAAAGGCTAATTTTCTACTCGACTTCAAGTCAGTTCTATTCAATGCTTTTTTATATGATTAAGCTGAATAGCAGTCTACCATCTAATTCAATATTGAACCATAATAACATGGATTTAACGAAAATACGTGCGTGCAAAAGTTTCGATTCAGTGATTCTTAGAATTGATCAAATTCTTCAACGAGACGTGAATAAAGTATAGCAAAAGCCACATTGATCGATAGAATGGCTCACGCTTTATCCAAATATATCAAAATTAGAAACACCTAAGGCTTTATAAAAATAGAAAAAAGGAAGCAAAGCTATGAAAAATAAGGTAAATGTACTGTATGCTTATAATTGTCATAGCACTTTATAGATGAACAAACATAATCGTTGAAGTTCACCAATTAGATTTTAAAAAAATCTGATACAATATCCTCGTCGTCTTTCAGACAAAAATAAAAATTTCTTTCATTTGTAATCGCCCAGGATCGATTAAACCAAACGAAGAGGAACATAAAAACTTTAAAAAATCTTCTTGTAGAATGAGTTTCTGTGAATACAAGGATGTTCTCGAATGTCGATGATTATGTACTTAGATTTCTTGTTTAAGAATGTATTTCTTTGGATATTGTATAGCCTTTTCACCATTATTCAACTTTTTTTATTCTCTTTTATTT